GGGTTCGAATCGATGACCAAGACTGCCATTTTAAAGTGAATCAATCTTTTACTACTACGAGTAAGTATAAAGATTGTAATGTTTTTTGATGGTTTGTGATCTCTTCATTATGAAAATCAAGACACTCACTTCCATCAGTCTTCTATTGGCGATTTTGATATTGGCTGTCAGCTTGCATTTTCATGATGAAAACATCAGAAATCATCCAAAAATATTACATTTCCCATACTCATGCGTGGAAATGAGAAAAATTTATTCACCTTAAGTAAATTGTTGGTCATAGATAATGATTTAAGCGGTTATCCCTACGTTGTATGCTGAATCGTGGACAACGAACATGCGGAATATGCTACGCGACTGTTTTGATACGAATTTTCAACTTCAAAATAGATAGATAGTAGTATTTAACCTTAGGTTGTTGGTTTAGCCATTATCAGCGAAAATATCGTTTACCTTTACCCTTAATTTACTCGGAAGACATTGTTTCTATGAAACGCGTTTCTCAAAATAGAGGTAAATGTTCCAGCCCTGTCACGATGCTAATCTGAATATGTTATGAGGAAGCAATAATCTGACGATCTCACAAAAGATAAATTACTGTTGCAATAATTCCTGTCTCAACTCTAAATTGCTCAGACTGATCTGAAACGGCACTATTTGTTGACAGTTCCATGTCCCAACCCATTTGCGGCGCTCCAGATCGACGATATGAATATTTATGGGCATTTCACACGTTCAGCCCAATTCCATTTACATACAATGATTTTTCGCCGCTTGTACTGTTCGGTACTGTTACAGAGTTACAGATTTCAAATGTTAATGAAGTGGTACGGTAAGGTTCGTATTGAATACTAATGCACACATGGGTATGCTGGCATGTACATGTACGAGACTCAGACACGTTACAGCAAAATACACTTGAGAGTGCCAGTTAGGTCTAGTCTGTTATGTAGACAGTCTCCGTCAAAAGTTTTGGGCTGTATTAATATTTTAAGTGGCTGTTTCTATGCCGTGCTAAGCACAGAGGGGATGTCTGCAATTTTCGGCCATATTTAGTTTTTGATATTTAGTAAATCGGCGGTATTTTCTCTATGGATCGGTAAAACTTTTGAGATAAAAACACTCAAAATCCTACATATTTATGTTTGTCGTATCTGCACAAGTGTGTGTACATGAGTCATAAATGACAATGCTGCTGCCTTATTAATGTAACAGGTGTCCCATTTTCACTTCAGTATAACAAGGAGTAGTTGATATGTATTCGATTAGTTGCCACTTTTTGCTTTGGTACGTGGGCGTGTAATATTTAACCTCAAAAGTATGTTAGCTGCGTTGTCGCATATATCACTCGGCTTGTTAATTTGTACATACGGGAAATTGAACTAAGTACACCAGGCGTTTCAAATTCGACCCTCACCATTGAGATCTCGGAAACTGTAAGAGATACGAAGTCGCTTACTAGGAACAAAGTTGTGTAACAAAATGCTGCTTAGAAAAAATCGATATTCAAAGTACTTCCAGAGAGCGACTGAAAACAAATTGCCACTTTTTCTTCAATACAAGATGGCATTTTCATAATTTCAATATTTTTGCCAAGATGAATAGAGTTTTCAATTATTTATGAAATTTTTTATGTGATACGTTGACATTATCAAACCTCAGTTATTCTAGAAAAACAGAATTAGGTAGGCTTTGAAATTATCGTAGTCATTTGTTTTGCATTCCAGGCCAGGCCTCAAATTGAACATAGTAACAGAGTTTGGAAGACCGAGAGAAAGAGAAATAAATCGAACAGTAAACAATGTACAGATAAGAGTCAGGCTTTGTGTACAAGATAACGGATAACATTTTGAACATCTGCTATGATTTACCTCTTCAAGAGAAATTTTTTTCTTGGCCATGGTTGTTGTGATTGTCCGAAGGTGGTAGACGGTCTCTGACAGTCATGTGCAGAGGTACCACCCGGCAGATCTCGTAGGCGGGGCCAGAATGTCGTGTTCAGTCGCCACAGTCCTTGTGGCGTTCTCCCTTTCCCCTGTATCCCCCTAAGCCTCACGGTACCCCATGGGGGTTTAGGCCTTAGGCCTTCGTGGTAGTTGGAGTACAAAAAAAACCTATGGTTTGGCAATGTCAATGTATGACATATTATATATTTTTAGAATCAGTTCTAAAAGCTCTATTTATCTGTGCAAAAATTCATTGGAATTCCAATTATGCCATCTTCTTGGGCAGAAAAAGTGGTAACGTTACTGTGTAATTTATTTTGAAATCCCACTACAAATTGAGTCAGGAGAAAATGTGGTTTTGTAGTTGTTTGTTTTGAACGGTGATCTAGAGCCAACAAAGTTTTCTTAAAAAAATATATCTGTGCTACTTTTTGCCCTGTCTTGCTCTTATCTGTAGACGGGGCTGCTCAACAATCTAAAAGGAAAAACTATATTGTTCAATCAATTTGAGCCTTGCATGAATGTTCGTACATCCTTTGTAACGTTTAGCAATTCTGGCCTGAAGTCTTACCGAGATTTTAACGATTTATCAAAACAATATGAGGATATATTTTGCATTATGTGTTGTGTATTTTAGCTGGAAATCATCAGACGTAAGTTAGTATATGTTTCGATGTTTTCAAACTAACTGTATAATCTCCTATTACGAAATTATATACCAAAACAGTCAAATAATGTAATGTGCTGAATTACATAACTCTACGGATTATTATGGCGTAAATAATGATCAGGTAGCTATCGTCTATCTTCTGATTGCGATCAAGCATAATTCTGATTGTTACTGCGATGCTGCAACATTCTATAATATCATAGTAGCCGCTGATCACGTAGTAAAATTTCATAAAGTTTCAGTTACGTGCCGACTAAAACGCCTTATCTGAAAGATTGCCAGGTAGATCTTTCTATATTATTTTGAAATATTCAAAGCAGCTACAGCATGGTTAACACGCGATCTTAGTACTTGGCATACAGGTGCGAGTTCAGCAGCTTGCTGAGATATAATCGTACGCTTTTACTTCCGACGCCAATGGGCGAGGATCGAGGAAGTATCGTAATCTGAAAAAATTTCAAAAAAGAGATATGTTTTTAGACGTTGCATATACATCACGAAAAACCATGCCTTCTAACGGGTGATTTTTTTAAGAGGTATAGAATTTGATTTTCAAAAAAAAAAAACAAAAAATTTGAAAAAACGATTAAATCTTTATTTGAGTCGATAGAACGGTCGATATAATTTAATGTTTAAATATTATTTCATGTGAATGTTGGCCGCGGCTTCGCTTTAGATGGCCCATGCGCAAGGTCCAATTTTGGCACACTCTGTCCAACATATCGGCCAATGCTTCAATATTGGCTTCCAGTGCGTCAGTCGTTGCTGGTTTATCCCTGTAGACATTAGCCTTAACATGGCCCCACAAGAAATAGTCCAACAGCGTTAAATCACACGATCTGGGCGGCCAATTGACGGGCCCCAAACGTGAGATAAACTGTTCACCGAACTCGCCTCTCAATAGGGCCATTGTTTCGTGTGCGGTGTAGCATGTGGCACCGTCTTGTTGAAACCACATGTCAGCCAAGTCCAGCTCTTCCATTTTGGGCAAAAAAAAGTTTGTTATCATCGCACGGTAGCGCTCGCCATTCATAGTTACGTTCCGGCGATTGTCGTCTTTGAAGAAGTACGGCCCGATGATGCCACCGGCCCATAATCCACACCAAACAGTGATGTTTTCTGGATGCATTGGTAGCTCTTGCAATGCTTCTGGCTGGTCTTCACTCCAGATGCGGCAATTTTGCTTGTTAACGTACCCATTCAACCAGAAATGAGCTTCGTCGCTGAACACAATTTTTCGATAAAAATGTGGATCTTCCTCCAACTTTGCCAGCGCCCATTCACCAAATTGGAAACATTGTGGGAGGTCCTGTGGCTTCAATTCTTGCACCAGCTGTATCTTATAAGGTTTTACACCCAAATCCTGTCGCAAAATTTTCCACGTAGTGGGGTAACAGAGGCCCAATTGCTGCGAACGGCGGCGAATCGACATTTCACGGTCATCACTAACACTGGCGGATACAGCCGCAATATTTCCTTCAGTCCTCACTCTACGTCTGCGTGTTGGTGGTTTAATGTCCAATAATGCAAACTGGGTTCGAAATTTAGTCACAAGCTTCCGAATAGCTCCCTCAGTAGGCCGACCAAATTGCTCATAAATTGGAAGCAGTGCTCGATGCACTCTCTTAACAGAGCATGAATTTTGATAGTAAAATTCAATAATTTGCAAGTGTTGTTCGTTCGTAAGTCGATTCATGGTTAAATTATAGACCAAACTGAACAAGTTTGACAATGACAAAAGACACGATTCACGCGTCATCTGTCAAAAACAGTGTTGCCAAAAAGATACTAGCAAAAAAATCACCCATTATAACTTACTTGTGAAGTACTGCTCGGATTTGAATGAAATTCTTAGGTAGGGTTAATACTACGCCAAGGACAAAAAAGTTTCGTAGTTTTTGGAAACTCATTGTGTTATTGTAGTTCAATCGTTTTATTATCTAGCACTTTCTACTAATACACTCTACGATAATAGGAAAAAATGTGCTCCTCAATTTTTAATCGCAGTTATTTTTGAAAAGCGAGTCTTATAAACCGTAGAATCCAAAATCGTAGCAGAAAACGGGTACAAAATCCAAATGGATTGGTATTTAACATCCATGCTGACTCTCATTCAATTCGGTGCTATACTTTTCAAGTAAATCGAAATTTCGTGACCTGAACCATCAACATTCGGAAAAAAAACTGTAAGAAATTTCTAGCGCTTGCATACTCGTATTAACTTTTTGGCAGTTATACACTGCAGTTTTATTGCAAATGGAGCATATGTATCAACCATTGTATTTGCGATAACGCGATGAACTTCTTATCTTATCCTCTTGATTTCAGCGATTATGATAGACATATTGTCAGCCAGCTATTATGATAGAATGTTCCTTTGTTACAGGGCCAATATGGAAAAGGTGATCAGAGAAGGAGCTTTACGACTACTTACCAATGAAAGCTCATGCGATGTGATCCTCAGTTGTCAGGGTCACCGGTTGATGGCTCATAAACTCATCCTTTCAGTAGCCAGTCCTGTATTCAAGGTAAATTTAGTTGCAAATTGTAACTGCGTCTATTTTCTTCACGGTAAATTAGGGTTAATCACGAAAATGAAGGAACAGTTTACGGTAGGAACTGGCCAGTACGATAGATCTATAGTTTTCTCTACCATTCTATTATCCTTCAAAAATCGACTAAAGAAGATATGCAACCGAATCTCCCACCACACTACACGGGTAACATCCGACTTAGATATGTACATTTGTCTCAGGCTTACGTAATGATGTTAGTTTCTGGGCTTGCTAAGCGGATTCGTTGGACTCGATCAAGACGGCTCAATTTCTCGTGTCCCATTTTGTTTTTGTACTTGAAAATAAAACTAGACTCAACTATTGCTAGAGTGTAGGAAGAAGAGATTTTTTCATCCTTCTACTAAATTCGGAAAGATATAAGCACTTTCGGGAATGTAAAACATACTCACATGTTATCGTCATACCTGGACTAAGAATAAACTAATTCTATAAAAGTTCTCGCGGCATCTTCTGAGACTTCTATCCAAGGCAAAGAAATGTTTCTAATTCTTTCACTGATGGAAGATTTCAACAGCAAAATGGTCGCTCGGTAATTTTCCATTCTTGCATAAATTTTAAGAAGCCGTGGATACAGGGCGTGCCTACTCACAAATAACTATCAGAAACTATTACATTTAAAAAAATACAAAAGCCCGACTCCGGTAATTAAAAGGAATGAATTTACAATTCTGCTGTCAAGATGAATCTAAAGACACCCCAAATGTCTAAATCCATCCGTTTGGGCTATAGCCCATGAATGAAGATTAAAATCTACCATTTTGTGTACACGAAATAGGAATATCAAGGTTGATTTTTTTACTAAAATTTGCCGTTTTGTTTTTTATAAAATATTAGTATAGCCTTATGGCTAATCACTCGCACTGCTAAGAAGGATCCAATCACACTTCATTAGTAAAAACCCATAAAGCCTGGAAATAAAAGTATTTCAATGTTGAATTCTTTAAAAACCTACATTTTGTTGTCTTATATATATATTAGTATAGCCAGTGTAGCATGCAATGCTAAGACGAATTCAAAATCATACCTTATGCCAATATCCGTCAAGCCGCTCAAACTGTAGCCTGAGCGCGGAGGAGGTGTCCACAGACTCGTTTTCCTTGGCTTCGAGCATACTCCGCTTGCTCTCTTGCTCTAATATAATACACACATGCTCAAAATCTAGGGATATAATAAGTATTGCTATATATTATAATTATTTTTATTTTAAATTTCGTTATAACAGTGGAATACGATTAAGATAAGTAATAACTAATATAACCTAATACACTGGCATTTAAAGTGATTTCAATGAAAGACACTCTAATAATTCATTATTAGCAGAAAAAAAACAAAGAAGACTTTAATATGAAATGTGGCCTTCTCGTGCATTTATGGTCGCTCTATAATGCCTTTCCATACTCAGTATCAAGTTGTCCAAATCTTCTTGTGGAATTGCAGCTCAGCACTGTTGAAGAGCTTGAAACAACTGATTCCGGTTCTGAAATTGATTATAGCCCCTAAGCACTCTTCTTTAAAGCATATCCCAGCCATGCTTAATGAAGTTCAAATTGGGAGATTGAGCGGGCCAGTCTGAAATGTGAATATGTCGGTCTTCCAGGAAATTTCTTGTCACTCTTGCTGTATGTGGAGTAGCATTATCATGCATCAATATAAAATCTGGACGACAATACCTCTGTATGGAATAACAACAGGTTCTAGAACATTCCTAACATAATCATTGGCCGATAAAAAACGGTCCAGCAAGACAAGCTCAGTTCTACCATGAAGACAAATTCCTGCCCACACCACTATTGTGCCTCTTCTGCGACGGCGAACCTCCTGGGTATGCTCTGAGTAGTTCCCATAGCATTTGCGACATTAACTTGAAGCATGCCAGCTTCAAGCACTTCCACAGCTCTCAACATCTCATTTTCATTTAAATGGCGTCGAGGCACATTTAAAAGATCACTAAAAGCACGTTTGCAGAACAACAATTGATCAATTACTGTACATACTCGGTATCGCTTCTTATTGTATATTCTGACAATTTTGATTACATTTAACTAGACTCTTTTTTATCTTTTTTTATGGTGAAACTATGCGAAACGATGTGTCCTATTCTGTTTACATTAATAATATGGTGTTATACTGCTGGTGAGTCCTGGATAATGACGCAGAAAACACAAGTTAAATTAGAGGTGTGACAAAGAAAAATTCGTAGAAGGATCTTGGGGGGGGGGGTTAAAGTTAGTGAAGGTTTATGTAGAAGGAGGACAAATGATGAAGTAGCAGAAATGTATGGGCATTCATTTATTTTAAAATCAGTAAAGGTTCAAAGAATTAGATGGTTAGGGCACGTAGCTCGCATGAAGGACAACAGACATGCCAGAAAAGCACTGCTAGAAGGAAGGGGAGGAAAGAAAAAGAGGGGAAGGCCTAGAAAGAGTTGGATGCATAGTGCTGATGAGGATTTAGGGATGTTAGGAGTAACGGCATGGAGAGAAAAGGCTGCGGACCGAAATGCATGGAGAAGGATGGTTTACAGAATGGAGTATGAGTAGAGCGACTAAGATTTAAAAAGAAGATTTTGTACTGTACTTTGTAAGTCATGTGCCTTTAAGGCCTTGTAGAACTGTAATATATATATATACACTGCCAAACCTAGTTTAAACTACATAATAAATTATTGAGTATTGGAAATCTCTAATATCCCTAGATTTTGAGCATGTGCGTATATGTATATTTTTCTGTATCTGTTTACATTTGTACTTACAGAAAACTTGGGATAGATTAAATCTGAAAGAATTAGTTTAAGCAATACGCGTCTCATATCTGGGTATTGAAGATGCATAACCCTGTAAAATATAATATTTTATTGCACTAGAGCTATTTCTTAGTTGTCGGTATTCCTCATGTTTCATTTTAATCCTTTCTTATGCGTTCAGCCGTAAGTGATTTATCTCTTAAATAATCGAACGCATTGAACCATTACGTGTATCTAGTTCAACAAAATATTCAGTAAGCATTTGGTGTTCAAAAGGGATATGGAATTTAGAGTACCAAATATTCTAATCAAAATGTGAGAATGGATTATTTCGATATCCCTAATACAAGAAAAATAGTTTCTTTCCAATCAACGTAGAACATAGCAGAAGAATTATTATTACATGATATCCGATTCGTGTAACAAAAAGAAAGCCATTCAATTTTGCAATAAATAATTATTCAATCTGGAACCTTAAAACATACTTGCATCAATATTGGCATGTTCGGCTTATTCTAGATAGAAGTTCTCAAACTTATTTCGTCTACTGCCTACTTTGAGAATCAATTTCTATCTCCCCCCGACACTGTTCACGGTGTCCTTCTCGGGTGGTATCTGTGATTTAAAATTGAATACCGGGGGCGACGGCGTTGTTTGCTGCGTCAGCGCTTCTGCGAATGAATGCCCTTAAACAATCTTAAACAACCATGGGAGGGGGTGGGTTGTATCTACTATTGAAGATTGAAGAGCGGGGGCGAGGGTCATCTGCATCAGTACTTCTGAGAGCGAATGTCGCTGTGACAATTGAAAAGCAGCAAACCAATTTCTCCAATTTTCTTTAGGCTCTTTACCGCCCCTCATCCCCCCCGTTCCCAGAACCCACAACGGGGCGTTATTGCACAATTTGAGAGATACTGTCTAGACCTAAATAGTTATTCCACCTTCTTGTAGAAAATTTTTCTAGTTGTTAAACAGTGGTTTATACCGCCATGGTACCCAAAGTAGATTGATAGGATTCCTCATTTTTTTATCTGATCAGTCCACGTATTATTGTTCGGTACCTCCTGTGAGCAGTTGCAGAATAAATAAAATATGTAGGTCAAAACTTCACGCAACACAAATACACTTAGCTGCAAACTTTGATAACCGTCTCCTGAAAACCCTGCTCGCAAGCTGCTTCTCCCGAGCGGGCAATCTGTAGCTGAGCGGTTGTATCTTGGCTGATGAGAGGCAGCGCGTAGCGAAACGAGTTTGAGTGGTGGCGCAGATCGTCTGTTACGCGGAGGTATGTGTAACAAAAATTGGATACCTGTACAGAGCTCAAAGCCTTCTTTATAGCCATCTTTGGTACCACATGCTCCTTTGCTATGTTCTTTACATTTCATTAAATGGTAAGTACCCAAAATGGATCCAGTGACCTACACTACACCTAAGTAGTGTTTTCTGTCACAGTGAAAGGTTTCCCATGACGTCACTAATCTACTCATATCATTGTCCAACATCATTAGTCAATCTGGTTGTACTAACACCGCCTTTATGTCCTAAGCGCATTATTATAATGACATTATCAGGATACTGAGCGTTAAAAAAATCGTGGCTAATAATCCGCTTGAACTGTTTATCAAACTAAGCTGAATGTTAATAAAGGTGGTAGCCACTGGTAACCACCTACCGTACGAGTCAATTAAACAAATGAACGTGCAGGCATCAGCGTGACTATAATTTAAAGCTTGTCGGTTGTACTCGTAAGTCTTTTGTTGTCGGAATCGGGTAGATAACGGATGGAAGAGGTTGCGGCTATAATAGGAGAGGATTTATAGATAAAAGAGAATAAATAAATAAAATAAAAAATACATTGTTAAAAACAAGCTTTTATTTAGCTGTTCATAATAAGAACGAAAAATATAGAAATATGTTTTTCCGAATGGAAATATTTAAACAATAATGAAGCTCCTTGATCTCAACTCCAAATAAAAGCATGTTAGGTAGACCTTTTTCGATCCTGGTATCAAAACGTAACGTCAAGGAGCATTTCATTACCGTTTAAATATTTCCAATCTGAAGAAAAAGTTATAAATTTTTAGTTCACCTTGTGAACAGCCACAAAATGGTTGTTTCTAGAAAGGTGTTATATTTTATTTCTTACTTTATTTGGATGTCAAATAGTTTGGTACTCTCTATATTCAATTCAATACAATATAATATTTTATTCATAGGACTATAAGTCATAATCATAAATCGACCGCCATATGGGATTTTGAATGACGTTACTTGCTTATCGTGTTTCTTTGCTTGCCCTTTTATTTGATTCTGTCATAGGGATGATTGTAAAAAATGTAAATCTCCATTTCGCGGCGGTCACCATATCGGACTTAGAATGACGTCACTATGCTTACTGTGTTTTTCTCATCAAGGCATTTAACTTATATCATATCATTTGATACCTATATCATAGGAGTGACTGTAAAATATGTAAATCGTCATGCTGCGGCGGTCGCCATATTGATTTACAATGACATCACTATGCTTATTGTATTTCTCTCATAAAGCCCTTGCATTTGCTATTCATATCATAGGGGTTCATATTTTGTTGAGCCTAGCTTTGAACTACTCGAGGAACTGATCGTGCCGGCTAGGTTTTGACATAAAAATAGACCAGGAGCTTGATTATTATAAGAGTTTCGACTGTTGAAAGTAATTTCGATGTAACCTTCCCGTCATACACATGATCCGCTATGATAATTTTGAAAATGATGCAGGGTTATTGCATAAAAAGCCTAAACAATGTCAAAAAATTCGGTATGTCTATGTGTGCAGTAGGTATCCTACTGTGAGTATGAAGTGAAGGTTATCCAGTTCAGAGGTAACATTTTATAGGAAAACCTATATAGTGTCATAAAAAATCTATATAATGTCGCTTGTGGACTAGTGCCTGTTTTGCTCACTTGATGCATGAGGTCTACGTCAGAGTATCTAAGATAAAAAATATTCAAAATTTCTCGCAGAATACAAATATCGAATAAAACGTATAGCATTCCGTGAGAAAAACAAAAGTTGATATCAGTTTCTGAAAAACCGTAGATTTGACAACATCGCTGATATCATCAGTGGATTCGCCGTGGTTTCGAACCTAAACCTACCAATTTTTAAAAAAATAATTTGAGTCATTAGTCGGATATTTGAAAAATTTGTTTAAATAGGAGTTTTTGTCTGATTTGATGAATTTTGCAGTGCAGCAATTGCTTCAAGTTTTTCAAGCATACATTACCTTATTGGAGACTGGAACGAATGGGAAGAGAGTTCAAAAGTAAAGGTTCAAAATAAATGATACCGTTTCTACTGCGGCTTAACATCAAGAAGGTGATCTGTAGATCATCCCGTTTACAAATGTTTATAACCGTTTCTATTACTAACCATTCCAACCAGAGTTCTCATGACAATCATAACACATTTTTTTGCCAATTCTTTGAAGGTCATTTCCCCTTTGGTTTTCCCAAGTAAGTATCCAAGATACGAAACTGATACATTATTTTCGTTCTTAGACGACATGCATTGAATTTTTATAATTTTATCACTGTCTATGACCAGATCATCGTCATTAAACCATTTCTCTGCCAGAAAGTGAAGTACGTCCTTATTATCCAGCATGATAGTGATTCACCATAGAAATCAATTTCAACGGTCGAAATTCAGTTAGAATTAGTCCCCTGGAGCCGTCTGGCAGTGGTAAAAGTATTAAAAATGAACTGAAACCGTGATAAAAAACAAGCTGTTGTTTGATGTGAACAACATTTATTACTTCAAAGCTTGCAAGATCATTAACACGTACTTTTTTATTTTTCAGTATCTGATCAGCGAAGCTCCCTTAGACACGGCAGTGTTAATCTTTCCCGACGTCTCTGCCAGCATAATGTCGATTCTTTTAGACTACGTTTACACTGGCACTGCTGTCGTCTACTCACATGCGATTCAAGATTTCTTGGCTCTAGCTGAATTACTCAAAATTCACTTGGATATATTACCCGATAAGCCTCTTCTGGATACCGTGAAGAAAAAAGAAGAGGAATACCCTGAGGTATGTAAAAGAATAGATACAGGATCAGCAGAAAATCATTGATGTCCCGCATTTAGTATGTATGAGAGAGATGCAGAGAGCGAGAGAGAGCGGCCGATACCAGCGGCAAAGGCTTCATCTTTTATCACGTATCGCAAGGACCAGACCTTATTACTGCGTATTACTGCGACAAAAATTAAATAATTTGTTGAAACATACTTTGTGGTGTATGAAAAAACCGAATGAGGTACGGATGACTACGGGACTTATAAATTTTGATTCATTAATAGTTATGCTCATATTTTGATGAAAGCACTCAACATTCTGTAAAGTAATTAAACATAGTTGTAAAAGTGAAATGTAAAATAAACACTTATTATGTGGTAGATACAAAAGTGTTCAATAAAATAATGTATACTTTTGATGTATATGCAGAAAATCAGATCGAATTCGAGACTCAAATACTCGTAGGAGGAAATTCTAAAACTAAAAGATAGCGGCGACTCCTGAAAACACTCATATCTAAGAATAATTTTATATATTTTCTTTCTGGACATTTACGGTACAGCTAAAAATTTAATGACAAAAAAGTACATAGAGTGTCGTACCTCTGTACTTTTGTACTCTGTTGGAGATTAATACACTTCCTAGGGCAATATCAACCACTGAACTAAAAACTTGGCCCTGAAGGAGCATTTTAGATATTTTGTGGTAGTGAAAACAATATATGATTTAGGAATTGAAGGAATTCGAAAAACTGTGAATTTCAAGAACATCCGAACCTCAAGGCCTGAAGCCCCACAAAGTCCGCATCAACAGTTTTTTAAAAATTCTCCTAGTATAAAAATTTGATAAAACTCGGGATAATCCCTCGTATATCGCTCTAACATACATGTTTCTTTCTCAATATCTTGTTCACAGTAATTGGCTCAATGATTCTCGTCCGATTATAAATAGTGGTGTTAATTATCAATATAAAGCCGCGTACAGACCGAAAATCCAAGGCAGAGCAAACGAATGCAAGCACATGTGACGGTGGCGTTTGTTGTTGGAAGGTATTGGAATGCCCTCGTCTACACCTAAATTTAGTTTCGAGTTGGACCGCGTCGAATGCAGACAAGCGACTAAATACTAAAACCGTAACAAATCCTGTCCAGACCAAAGCAAACCTCCCTGTGATGTACCGATCAAGGAACAAACGCGATCGAACGCCAGCGCCGACCTTTGAAACTGGTGGCTTATGTTCAGTGATGGGCGCATTGTATACACCATGTATACGCGTATACAATGGTGAAAATATACGTCTCGATATTCAAGTATACAATGTATAAAAAGTATATAATGTATACAATAGCAAATCATAGTTCAACTACTTGCATATAGTTCTGGAGAAAGAGAGAGGGACAAGCGGGCACCACTTGTGTAGAAAGAGTGCACCTCACACCAGGTTGCCTGGAACAACAGTGATAAAGGCCACAGAACACAATTGTAATTTGCTGCAATGCCTTGTTTCCTACGCTCAAATACACATTTTACATTACACTGTTTGGGATCAATTCCAGATCGATCCTAATGGTTCTCCGATTTTAGATGGAACTGAAAGTTCAGGATAGATACAAATTGTGCAACATTGCATTATTGGTTTGACTAAATATATAATATTCATTTATATTCGTATACAAAAATACAGTTGTAAATAAATTAAGAACAACAAATGAACCCTAATTCATCGATTTCTTTGTTCTTGGAGCGTCCAACCATATATTTTTTAAGTTGTCTGTTCACTGTTTACCAACTTCCTGACGTTTGCGAATAAACTTAACCTCACTTATGCAATTCGATAGATTGTCTTCATCATTGTATACATTGTATTCATTGTATATGCAATGTATACATTGTATTCATTGTATATGCAATGTATACATTGTATTCATTGTATACGCATTGTATACATCGAGACGTGGACAATTAATGTATACGCGCAATATATACTCCGTATGTTGGCTTGCGCCTTACACACTGTTTCGAACACCACCAAATCTGTACCCACATGTGCCTTGGTTTGCGTTGGAATCTCGGTCTGTAAGCGGCTTGAGAGGCACGAAATATGAAAGTAACACGACGGAAAAATATTTCATGTTCGGGCTTTTTAAGAGGAGTCGTCAACCTTTTCAGACAGTAGACGTTTTTCTTCAGCGAACGGCAGTTCTGTCAAAGCGGTTGCTACTGTCACACTTTTTTGCTGTTTCATATTATGTTTGTCTATTCAAAACATAGAGAGATAGAGAACCAAGTCAAACTCTTGAGATATAAAAAATAAAAAATACTCAACAAATATGCGATGAATTTGTACAACTTTTTACTGACATAGGAGAAAATTTAGCAAGTAATATACAAGCAAATGTACCCAATACTCAGCCTCCAAAAAGATCTTTGAACTCATTTATTGGGGATAAAGTCGAGCAATATGAAGTATATACACCACTGTTATGTCCTTAAAAAATCGAAAAAGTCCTGGGTTCGATGGTATTAAAAGCGAGCATTTGAAAATTATAGCCGAGGACATAACAGAACCACTCACTTACCTAATCAACAAATTCTTTGAATGTGGCATATATCACTAGATTTTAAAAAAGGTAAGATAATACCGATACATAAATCTGGAACAAAAACAGATGCTAACAACTATAGACCAATATCAATAATATCCAGTGCAGCAAAGGTTTTTGAAAAAGTTTTATCTACTAGAATAATTCGATACCACACAAAATTCAAAATTTTAAGTGAAAATCAATATGGATTTACAGAAGGGAAGGCTACATCGGACGCAATAACTAAAATTATGTATCAAATACATCAAAATATTGATAACAGAATCCCTTCAATCTGCATTTTTGTTGATTTAAAGAAAGCTTTCGACTCAGTTAATCACAAATTATTAGTAGAAGCATTGGAGAAAATTGGTTTCAGAGGAAACGCGTACTCACTGATCGAAAATTATTTATCAAATCGCCCACAATCTGTGCATACATCAGGATCGTTTAGTAAAGAACTGTATATTAAATGTGGTGTCCCACAAGGAACTGTCTTAGGTCCGCTATTATTCAATATATATTTAAATGATATTTACCAAATTAATTGTGTTGGCAAAATAACCAGTTTTGCAGATGATACTGCAATATTATATGAAGGCACTGACTGGTCTGATCTGAAAAATGTAATTGAAAATGATTTTATCAAAATTATTCGGTGGTTTAACAGTAGAAAATTAAGAATTAACTATTCTAAAACACATTTTTTACCATTTGGATTTTATGCTAGATATCTGCCAAATTACACAAATTTTTCCTTCAACATTCATGATCAAAAAATGCAAATTAATAGAGTGCCCAACATAAAATACCTTGGAGTGGTCTTGGATCCTCACTTACGATGGAGCATCCATGTCAATTATATTTTAAAGAAAGTTAGATTTGTATCCTGCAAAATTAAATACCTTGGGAATATATTGACAGAGAAATATCTTCGAACATTATACCATGCACTGATTGAGCCTCATCTCACATATAGTATATTAGCATGGGGAGCTGCATGTTCGTCACATATCTAGAATTTAGATGTTTTTCAAAAAAGTATTTTAAAAATGATATTTAAAAAACCGAAACTTTATCCCACTGACAAATAATACGCAGATGTTCGGATGTATGATATAAGACAGCTTTATTTCTTACACAGTATCACTCACTACCATAAATTTGTAAACACCGACCAAAAAATTATACATAATCATTATACAAGGTACAAAATTCGTGACACAGTAGTTCCTCAGCCGCATAAATCTATAATGCAGGGGTCATATCCCTATTTAGCACCAACATTTTATGAAATTATACCTAAAGACTTAAAAGATGTACGTTTCGGAAATTGTTTCAAAAGAAATTTAAAAAAGTGGCTACATTCTGTATCTAGGACGGAAATTCATAAACTCATAAATACGAACATCAAGTAAATACATAATCTACTGTAACTAATTTTGACCTTTTTTGTCATTTGCATTCTACAGTTGCAACTTAAAATTATTGGTCCATGTACAGGCGATGCCTTCTATTGGGCCTGTTTTGATTTTATATTTATTTACTCATATTGTTTGTTATCTTTGTACATTGAGTGAATAAATATTATTATTATTATATAACTCATCGAAATGAATGAATAAAACTAAAATATGTAACTCCTGAAACTTGTCATGAGATTTTAATGTTGATAGAACCCTTTCATCCGAATTGAGCCACATATACGTTTTAATTCCTGTTTATTGTACGACGTCTGAGCCACCAGGGTGGCTATGTCGTTGTACTTGAAAAAGACCACCGTGGTGTCTGAAAAGTCGTAAAATAAACGAATATCAAAACTAAAGTATGTTGTAACATTTCGTGGCTTCTACTTTCATGCAAGGTGACTAGACGTAATGACCCTATAACGGCATGTACATATTATTTCAAGCTAGATACATTTTAATAGCATGCTCAATTATAAGACCGCCTATCCTTAACATGTGTTAATTTTTCTTACTGATGATATTATATCTCTTGAAAACAGACCAGGGGCATAGGAGGTGCCAGCTTATAAGGGATTCGACGGAAAAATGCATAAAATTTGATCCTCAATCTCAAATAAGTGTTTAAGCCCTACGCCAAAGGTCGCTTTACTTGGTGATAATAGCTTATTTCCTATTTTTGACACTCCAGATTACAACTGCCGCAGCTGCCAGAAGCATTCAAAAAAGCGATTAAGTTGTATTAAGACTTCTATGAGACAACTATGCCTAGAGTTCGTACCGTCTTCCAGGGCAGAAAATCTCGAAACATACAGATTGCCTTTAGCTATCAATTACTTAATAAAAATGTTCTAAAGTATAATAACTCGGTAGTTCACAGGCATATTCCTATTTTCAAACTTTCAGTTCGTACTAACTGAAAATTCTTGACACATAGTCATGTGCTGAGTATTATCATTTTTACATGTAAATCAAAAACTTCTAATATCCGTAATAAACGAAAAGAGCAAATTTTCGGAATTCTTCAAGACTGGGAACGAACTGAAGCTGTTTCGCTCATAATACCACTGCCACTTGGACTATTTTTTAAAAATGAAGTATTTACCTACTATGACCTGGCAGCATGCGCCCTCAAATTTCATCCAAATTGCTGCAGGCGCTTCCGACATTACGACAGTAAAGTAATACACAGACATGCCGATTTAAAATAAGTGATAGGTATGGGTTGACCCAGCTAGACGTAAAAAACTTACTTGAAATTCTAAAATTCAGTCACAGTACTTCCCTCTTTTATGCGAGGGTACATAATGGACAAGAAAGGTGTATATTTGTTATTTGACGATCTTAGAGCCATCATTGTAAAAATCAATTTTTAGCTAATACATAACTGTTTATAGTATTCAATGCTAACGTTCTAGTTCTTCACTTCAAATCTTACAAGCTACGTCACTGATCTAGACTCCACCATTGCGGCTGCTTTAGTATAAGAAACGTTACCTTTTAGAGCGGGAATAGACATTAATTCCGAAAAAATAGTTTTTTAATTCAGTTTCTTAGTATACAGGAAACTCAAAGCGTGTGGAATAGGTTTCCCAGAGAGAAATGTTGTAGAACAGTTTGTTTGAAAAGAGTCATCTAATGGTGACTTTCAACGTGACCTTCACTATGACCTTTGACGACAATTGAAAGTCAAGACAGATTTCTTGAATTGAGACCGGATTGTAAAAGGCGGAAAAGTAGGTCCTATCTTATGGCTTTAATTATGAGCTTCAAGGTGATTTTAGGGTCTCTAAAGAGAATGGAGAGAACAAAAATGTCCTAATACTACACAGTCAGGCAGCAGCGGTGGCCGCAGTGGTAGACTCTTCGGTCTCCTGATCAGTCGCCGTGCGCTGTGCGGGTTCGAATCCCGTCCCAAGAGAAATTTTTCTCTTGGCTATGGATGTTGTGATTGTCCGAAGGTGGTAGACGGTCTCTGACTGTCGAACGCAGAGGTACCATCCGGCGGTCTCGTACTCGGGGCCAGAATGTGTGCATGTGGCATGCACACGTGTTCCCTCGCCAGAGTCCGTGTGGCGTTCCCCCTTTCCCCTGTATCCCCCTATAGCCCCACGGGTGTTTAGGCCTTAGGCCTTCGTGGTAGTTGGAATATAAAAAAAAGGTGTTTTCTGTTAATACATTTGATGCTCAAATGGCCTTGATAGTCATAGTCAAGGTCATCGACATATTCGAACATAAAGTTCTCTGCTATTTACATTTCCGGAGTCAATATATAGATTCTTGTTCAAGGAAACTGCCTTGGCGTTCAAATAAGCATGAAGGTCATAGTTAAGGCCAGGTTCAACGTCACCATTATATTACATTTTTCTCTGAAAAACTTATGTTTCAAGGTATTTTGATCTATCCATACTTTTTACATACCCTGTATACGAATTTGGGAAGAATATAAGATTTATTCCGGCGAATTCTTCCCTAAATTTTCCGAGCGATTTTCTGCATTTGAATTGAGAAGAATAGTCAAGAAGCCACATGTCTTGCAGATATGCTTACGCTGACAATAGGTTCATTTAGCTGGTGCAGTTTTTCACTAAAGCACTGACAAGCTCCACCTCACTCAGAGATTATTACCGTTTCCGGCAACGGATGGACTAGTTGTATGAAATTTTCCAACGGAAATCGATGCATAGCGCCATACGCGGTGAAAGGTAAATTGACCCTATAAGTCAATCGTTGTGAACTATTTACTCCCGTACCGATCAAATAACACGTACCGGTGCTCCTATCTGCCGAGATGTCTCGAATAAATCTCTTTCACTTATCAAATCTGAATAATTAAGAGAAATGGATACTCAAAAACTACTGCTATGCTTTCTGAGGCTTACTTACGTATTTATAGCATGGGTGAGATAGCGCTATCAACGCTTCATTCTAATCAAGTATATGTATACTAAGTGACATATAAATCCGAACACCCAGTTTAAATGGTTTTATTTTAATAAAAGTTTGTATAAGTACTTAATGAAGCATAATAAGTAAATGATAATAATTTCAAAATGATTGCACTGCTTTAAAGCCCTTTGACCTTTAATAATGTGTGGATGCACCCTGATGTGGTACGCATTCTCCAACGCGCCTAGGCATGCTTCTGATCAGGTGGTCAATGTCCTCCTGTGGTATCTCATTCCAGGCAATCACCAACTCCTCTCGAAGTGCTTCTAGAGTCTGAGGAGGACGTTGCAAATTGAGCAATCTCCTACCCATCATATCCCACACGTGCTCAATTGGGGATAAGTTGTGAGATCTTGGTGGCCATGGTAACAATGTGACATCATTATGTTGAAAGAAGTCTATTGTGACTCTTGCAACATGTGGTCGGGCATTATCTTGTTGGAAAGTTGGATCTGCCAGGGTGTCAAGATAGGGTAAACGATGGGGTTCTAGAACTTCGTGGATATAACGCTGTGCGTTCATGTTACCTCTGATGGAGATTAAAGGTGACCTGGAACCATAAGCTATAGCACCCCAAACCATAACTCCAACAGTGTGATGAACATGTCTTTCAACAAAAAACTGTGGATTCCTCCTTTCACCACATCGCCTTCTAACCCTGGCACGACCATCGTGCATGCCTAAACAAAATCGAGACTCGTCACTAGACAATACTGTTCCATTTCTGATCCCAGAGTGACCGTTGTCTGCACCACTCAAGGCGATTACGTCGGTGTTCTCGAGTTAAAGGGAGCACCCAGTGTGGCCGGTATGAAAACAAGCCAAAACTTCTCATTCGTCGGTAAACACTTCGCATGCCAATAGGTCTTCCGTGTTCTGCAAACCATTCATTTGCAATGGACCTGGTAGTGGAGAAACGGTCCCTTAAGGCCAATAATCTTAGGCGGCGATCTTCACGGTCTGTTGTTCTACGGCGGCGTCCAGTGCCCCTTGCTCTTTGCGTACGGCCTTCTCGAAGCCATGCCTGACAACACCTAACCACAGTGTCTACACTTCTTTGCACTCTAACTGCAATTGCCCGAAAAGGAAGTCCAGCTTGCCGAAGTCCCACTATACGGCCCCTATCAAACTTACTAAGTTGACGAAATCGTACAGGTCTCCGTACTCTAGGCATCGTAACCGATCGTAAAGGATGTCAAGAACCAAAATCCGCCAAAGTTGATTCTTTACTGCGGCTGAAATATTCATTTTTAGAGCGTTAGTGAATTAAAAAAAAGCAGTATAAAAACCGGAATGTCCAACTGATAAGGCTGAAAATTTTTTCACTTGTTATTTACAGTAAGATAAATGCATTCACCACCTTTTATTAAAATAAAACCATTTAAACTGGGTGTTCGGATTTATATGTCACTTAGTATATGTTGTAGTAGTGGCGGGGGGAGGGCTGGTAGTGGTACAAAATACTGATCATGATCTGTGCAAATTTGACAATTTTCAGATGAACTATAGTATTACTACGGCGTTACCAACGAATTCGATTTGTTTATAAGGTCCCACAAGTCTATATGTTTACATTCCATTGTTTGTCGGATAAATTGCGTAGTTTTAGTACATACTTATGATTCGTTTGTCTACCAATGTCTACCAAACTGACAACGCTGTATCAATATAATAATAATGTTTACTGGTGGAAACATCTAGTTTCATTAGGCTTGTGCCGCTCTTAGAAAATCATGTAAGAAGTCTTGAAATCGTCTAGCACTACAATTATCAAGTGCACTTGACATAAGTCAAATTATTTGACATTTGTATTTTTAGTGTTATTTCTTGAATGTGCGAGTGTTTGCAGAAAATTATGACGATCTTCAACCAGTAAGTATTATTACTATTATTACTATGTTGATACAACGCTGTCACCTTGTTAGAAGTATGCACTAAAACTACCCAATTTTGGCGAAAAACAATGCAATGTGAACGTATAGGCTTGGGTCCTTCTGACCTATTCGAATTCGTTGATCGTGACGGACGTAGGTATAGCTTTCGGGAGGAGGGAGTTCCAAGATATTCTCTTAAAATTGTTACAGCAGTAGGTAATTCGCATGCTTCATGTTTCTGACTTGGATGCTTTAGAACTGAAGTGTACCTGGATTTAGGGCTTCAAATTCCAGCTGTGGGCGCAGAAAGACTGTCATTTTTATCTTTTTTCTGACTTTGGGATATAAATCAAGATTATGTGACTAAACTTGTGGAAGATTTTTTCAAACTCGTATACGGTAGCATCAAATATTGTGAACTTGTCTTTGAAGCCTTAAAGCATAAATTTTTTCTACGAGAAAATTTCCAAAAATATCTGCGCATCGGTGATATGAACAAAAACTCATTTTCTGGGAAAATCTGACACCAGAATGATGCTAGCCCCTGTCCCAAGTGACCATCTACTTAAAATTTGGACGAAATAAAATATCTGGTGGTCAGTTACAACCGTTTTGCTGGTCGTCGCTTAGAAAGATTTAATTTCTGGAATTGGTTGAAAAGTTCGAAAATAAAAATTTACTTATTACAGTGCTCCGACTATTTCGCCATTTTGAGCCTTTGATTTTGATAGACATGACCAAATGACTCTGAAGAATTTAAGAAAATTAGTGTCTTAAAGCCAACCAATGTTTGGCCTGTTCATTCTGCTGCTCAGTTGTTTTTTCCCTCATTTTCAGTTTTATATTGCAGATATACAGCAAGAGGACTAAAAGGAAATTGCCAAACTTAGTGCCGATTGAGCAACTACAATGTCAGGAGAAACGAAGAAGACTGAAGAGCTTCGTGTTGCCAAGTCCTTGGTGTGCCAGAGGAGAAGCAATTTTTGGTGATCCCAGGGAAAGCAAAGAAAATCTAGAAAATAGGGTGAGTTAAGCGATGTAACTAGGATGATTTTGTAGAATATATTGTAGTCGTGGTATTTCTGAAGAAATTTTGCTAATCAAAGTTCCCATTGATTAATTAGATTGTGCTCGATTTACTTGAAAATGTGTAGCTAAAGAATCATATTACTCCAAAAATTACATAATATATGTCACTCAATTTATAAAAACTATTTTATCTCAAAATATCTACCATCTGTGTCGCAAAGGTAGAGGGTCGCCCTGTAGCAAGTTGGTTTTTAGCCCCCCTCGTAATAAACATGACACACAATTTAGTTTGGTTTCAAAAGAATATCGTGCGTTGCAAATTATGTTTTCTTTTATAAAATGGGATTTTCTTTTTTGGATGTTTTATGACATGTACATCACGAAAACCATCTCATTTTTCGTCTTCCGTCTGTTTGTTTGTATAACCGCCTATAACTTAAGAAGTATCGCTCGGATTTTTATCTTTTACACGCTGTTACTTGCCAAGCACGAAGAAGCATTGTACTTTTTAAGAATCGGGTGATGACGACGCAGATAACGTTTTTTGACGTTTCAGAGGATCCTGATCATTTTTGAGAAACTTTTAGAGGTAAAAAATTCGGGGTGGGGATTATAGGAGGTAGGGATTGCATATCTATGATGTTAGTATATTTGCATGCTCTCAGCTTACGCACCTATTAGATATATTCCACACGTCATAGATTTATACATGTAGGTAGATTAGAACTTAAAACTAAAAATATTCTCATCAGACGGATCGCTTATGTACCAGCTGTGTCTGCTTTTGCTTCCGGTGACGTGCCGCCCACCTTGGTATGAGTTCTGGGGTTACGTATCGGATAGAGGCGACGTTGACAGATGGACTACCGGTAAGGCAGGGACCTGTTTGACTGACTTTTTTCGCAGAGGTTCTAGATTGTTTTGAAAATCGTCCATCAACTGATAGCGGCGTTGCTTGGGAAGTGCAGAGTCAACCCCTAACCACATATAGCCTTAATGTAAGAGGCGAGAGTGGAAAACATCATAGGCGAATCTGAGTGTCCTCAGGAGTCGTTCTTAGGTGTGGGAAGGGGCTGTTAAGGTTAGCTTTGAAATACCTCTGCGTTGTTACAGTTTCATGATACGTAAGATCTGTGGAAAAAGCTATCGAACATTATATCTCTCACAGCGGGTAAATATTCTGTTATTTCTGAGTAATAATTAAATTATTACTAAATACCATCCACTTAACCGTAATTTATTCGCAGATAATTTCCAAAGACGCCGCATGCCGCCAATCAAGAGCTTTTTCAAACAGTAGCTCTCAGGCTTATAGTACGCAATGTACACACTTCTTATAGGTTTATAACAAGCATGGCTAATACAGCTAAGGTTTTTGTTCAATTTGCATTTAACAGCGAATATCCTCTTATCTCGGATCCTTAACCGGTCTGCTATAAGTACATGTTTCACAGCGTTGATCTTGATGATTAATTATACTTATGAATTTGTGAGTAGTTTTTTGAGTCGGAAAGATGGTGATGATATAATTGGATCTCTTCAGTTTTTAATTATTAGTACGAAATAATTTTCAGTTTAATTTTTAAACCATTATGAGAGATACCATGAGAGACGACACGTTCCTCAATGTAATAATTAACCATAGATATACATAGTAAAAAAACAACTTCCTAGAGTAAGAAACTGTAGTGCCAAGCAATAGCTATTTGTACATCTAGAGCGCAAAGTACTATACTTTGTTATACTCGATCAATAATTAGTTTGATTACAGGCCATTTTTTGGCAGAAGTAAATGCGAAGCCGATGTTCGGCTTTTATCAGAACCTTCAGCCGAAACCGAAGCATAAAGTGGGTTGCATTATATGAATAAAGTGATAAGATAACGAATTTTTTTGCATTTGTTTCTGTTTCTTATAAGTTGTAGCCTCGGTTTTAATAGCATTAACTCGAAACTTGTTGAAATTAGACATGTTAAAGGAAGACAAGCAGCTTTGCGGTGAAAAACAAAGGATAATCGTGGGCTGGTCCGCAATAAAGGAACAGGAGTAAATAGAAGGATTGGTAAGCTAATAAGCAGAAACGTACGACGCTCGGGTTACCAATTCAACCAACAACAAACAAGTTAAAATTAGTGATAAAAAACGATATTTAAAAACTGACAAAGTCGCTAATTGCATAAAAACAGTTACTTATAAAGTAGCTTTTCAGCTCAGATTTGAATTGGCCTATTGAGGTGATCCTTTTTATGGAGTCAGGAAGGTTGTTAAAAATTTTAGGACCTAAAATACATGGTGATCTGCTGCCTAACTTATAACGCGCAAAAGGTATATGGATGACGTTTTGTCTGCCAGTGCCCATTTGATGTATATGACTATTCAAGGTGAAATCATCTTTGTTTAAAATAGTATAGATAGCCATATTGTAGAGAAAAAGCGAAGGCAGTGTCATTATTTTTAATCTCTTGAATAATTCTCTCTGCAACTATAAGTGCTGCTTACTCCCACCATACACCTCACCAGCCGTTTTTGACTTAGGAACACCTTAGTAGCGTTCACCGATGAACCCCAGAAGCACAAAGCATACAGCATTCGAGGCTTAACCTGACCATGATACAACATCAATAGCTGATTTTCTGTGAAAACAGATCTCAGGTTCTTGAATAAATATGCTTGTGAATTTATTTTTGATGACAGATAATCGCAAAGTCCTTTAAAGTTGAGACATTGGTCTAAGTGGAGCCCTAAAAACCTAGTGCTGTTATCACTCTGCAGTGCTGAACCGTTCAGAACAAGCTGAATCGCTGGTATCCACTTTTGAATGTTATGGAACCTTATAACTGTGGTCTTCTCGCCATTAAGGAGTAACTGATTTTCTTCAAACCAGCTATTGATGTTGTACACTAAGGTGTTACATTTATTTATTAAATCAGCCTCGCCTTTATTTGATATAATGATGGAGGCATCGTCTCCATACAACGTGAAATGTGCTTCAGGGAAACATTGCTCCAGGTTATTTATATAAAGGGAAAACAGCATTGGCCCCAATATAGATCCTTGTGGTACGCCTATATTTATGTTAACCATACCCGATTTGACCTGCTTCAGTTGACCAGCGTTGTTGTGTGTTATTGCCACGAATTGTGACCTATTCAGCAAGTACGATTTTATCCACAGGTAGGCTGAACCACCAATTCCATAGTCTGTTAGTTTGGCTAATAGTATGTCATGACTGACACAGTCGAACGCCCTACTGAGGTCACAAAATATCCCAACCGGGCATTCTCCTGCCTCAATACAGTAGACCTGTTGATAAATGAACGACATGCGGTCATGGTTGATTTTCCAATACGGAAACCATGTTTATTGGATGATAGAGTGTCATTGCTTTCCAAGAACAGCAGAAGTCGATCTAAAAAACAATACTCAAGAATCTTGGAAAAACAGCATGGAACAGTCACCGGTCTGTAATTGCTAACCAAAGAAGTATCTCCTTTCTTAAGAATTGGAGTTACTTTTCCTGTTTTCAGGGTGTTTGGAAATACACCAGTGCAGAATGATAAATTAACTAGAAAAACAATAGGTTGGGTTATGTACAATAATATTTTCTTGACTAAGAAATTCGGAACTTCATCGGTGCCTGAAGAACGCTTGTTTTTTAACATATCATTAATTAGTTTATAGAATTCTTCCTCCAAGAACGGGTATAAAAACATAAAAGATTTTTGGTCGCAGGTATGATCACTTGGAACTGGATTTGTATCCTTAGATATTTGTTGAATAATATCCAAAGGAGTCTGTTTAAAATAGTAGTTAAAATAATCAGAAATTTCTTGTGGATTTATAATGGTTAATCCATTATCAAGCAGTACAATGTTCTTTGATACTCTATTTCTTCCGTTTATGTCAGAAACCACATTCCAGGCAGCCTTCATCACGTTGTGCGAATTGGATATTTTTTGTTGATAATATGCCTTTTTTGTTTTTCTGACTAGCTTCTGATGTTGTTTTTTTGCATCTAGATAATGTTGTCTGTACTCAGTATATCCTTAAGCAGTTCAATTAACAAAGTTTCTTTGAGCTCCTTACAACAGCCGCGCGTTATAGGTCAAGAACCCGAGGCGTCAGCAAGACGACACCGCCAGTCGCAACGACAGCAGAAACCTTTATTAAAACTATTTTTCTTTTTATATTTTAATTCATTATCATTCCAACTTGTAACACGTTCATGTCTACAAAATAAATATTTTTTAAAAACTCCTTGTTGTGGCTGAGAAACATAATTGGCGCTGCGAACAGGATATCTGCACGGCATCCACCCAAGAAGGATCATCGGTTCGTCTTAACGATTTGGCAGATTTCTACCTGGGGTCACGAAGAAACACCGAGAAATTGGAGGACCATACTGGCGATGAAAATCAGTGCGATTCTTCTCATCCTGTAAGTCCATTTCCTTTTCATATGAGTTCTGAGTACCCTCAAGATTCATTTCAAGCTATAGTTAATTTTTCACACAAGTCGCAAAACAAATCTAGATTTCAACCCTACAGTAAACATTCAAAGAGGTCAGAAGACGATATTGTTGATAACCCATCTAATACTTTCGAACAATCTACAAAAATGGTTATATCTAACTCTGATGTTAATAACTTGTGTAATACTCTTCCTGAATTTAAAGTTGGGGATAATCTTTCTACATTTATAAGCTCTGTAGATAATTTAATCACATTTTTCAACCAACAAGGAGCTGATGCAGTACAATTGTATATTATTAATGCACATATTTTATCCAAAGTAAAAGGTGAAGCTCGAGATTTTCTGAACATTCATAATAAAAATTCGTGGCCAGATATTAAACCACTTTTATTACAAAAATACGGTGACCACCGTAATGAAGAAATTTTGTTAACTCAATTAACTACAACTGTTCAGAAACGCTCAGAGACTTACCAAGATTATCATCATCGTATAACCTTGGCACTGAATGACCTTTTACAAC